CTTTTGAAATAAGTTCTTAAAGTTTTTTTCCCTAAAACATAGAATAGTAAATAAAGAAGTAAAGCAAACAATTATCTCTTCCAGTTATGACCTTTGTACTTGGTTGCTAAGCCTTATAAAATTTTGCATGCGGAGGATATGAAACAAATTAATTTTTTTAGGTTTAATATATACAGTTGAATAACCAAAAGTCATAAATTACTATAACGATACCACAGAATTCCAATATAATTTATCAAGCTTAGTAACTAAGCTGTAATTTGGTCAAAAAATTATGAAATTTTGAGCAGACTAAAAACACAACCTACCTCCCATATATCTTGGTTTGAAAGAACAAGATGGCATCCTAACAATTTAAAATGGCTGAGAAAGCTACTAGGGGGACATTTTGAGCTTTTGATTGGTTATTCACATCATATATTTGAAGTAAGTGTATATAAAGGACCGTTTCCAAAAATGGAAAAAGGTGAGCGGGGCCACTGCGTTTGATTCAGTACATGAGCAATATCTCAGCAAATACAAAAGGTATGAGGTTCTTATTTTATATTCTAGCTTGTCAATATCAGTAATTTGACATCACAAACATCTACTCTGAACCAGTGCTGCATTCAACATACCATGTGACACACAAAAATCGATGTTTAACCGTGTTTTTTTAATATTTACTTTTAAATTAAAAAATTAAATAATGTATAATACTAAAATTTGAATTATAGTCTACAGTTTGATACTAAACTTATTCAATAAAATTTTGAATGCGAGTCAACAAACACGATGACATGGCCATTGCCCTCTGACCCATCTGGAAAGGGTCAAAGTGTTGTTTGAACTGAATTTTTACTGTTTAAGGTGCTTTTTAACTAAACATTGTATTAGAGTTTTGTGTAGTTCCTTGCAATCCCTATTATGAACCACTATTGTGGTTCATGATTATTAATTAGTAACTAAACTCTATTTCTTAAACATACATTTTTTTATTTTTAGAAGTAGATTCGAAGCACTAATTATTTTTTATCCCATTTCTAAACTTCCAAAATCCTTACAAATTCTGTATAGTAGATTCTTACCCACATTAATGTATAATTGAAGAGATTACCTATCTTCAACAAATTTTGAAGGCTAGTATGCAGTTATACAGCACTTATGATTTTATAGGTTACTCAACATTTATTTATATTTATGTATTTTTTGCCTTAGCATGTATTTGGATTACATTTTAAGCTTTTATATTTTTCACTTATTTGTTTTGTGGTTGTTGACAACTTTCACTCCCAGATGATGGTGTAAGTTCATATTTTACATGTTTATTACTATATTTGTACTTTATAAGCTGTTAAACATATTTGTATATATAAACACAACGATACGTAAACATAATGAAAAATTTTTAATACATACTACATGTTTCAACAGAGCATTGGTCTGTCTTCTTCAGTTATGATACAAATCCAAACAAAGAGATTTATATACAGAATAAATTGTCTCTAGGGACTATGGGTAACAGGATGTAACAACAGGGTGTTATCATTTAACGACAAAATATTGGAACAGAGTTATTACCTAAAAGGAAGGTCAGAGGGGAGTTAAGTGAATAAATTTTTCCATTTTTTTGTTAATGTTACTTTTATATACAAGACTCCTACCATAATGTGCTTCCCTACACAAATATTAAACATATTACTTTGAAGAATAGCTATTTCTGAAATAAAATCTAAATAAAGTTACAACTAATATTTTTACACATGAAAATAAATCCCTTACCCGAATAACATGATCAAGAAATCTCATAGCATGAAGTGATGTGTTTTTTATGCCATCAGCAGGTTCTTTCGCCCATTGCACTGTTATAAGAATAGCTCTGTGACAGTTTTCTTCTCCAGAAGCTGAATCTTTTTCTAAGAAAACAACTGAGAGAAGCTTGGGCCTTATACTAGGTATAGAAGATACCGTTGCAAGCAGCCTGGTCAGCTGAAAAAAAGTATAAAAAATATTCAAGATTAGAGTTTTCCACTGAATTTAACTTATTCCAAGTTAAATAATCTCGTAGTAAAGAAGATTACCAACAATTAAAACCATAAGGATTATTGCATTATGAAATAAAAAACAAGTTTTTTAGTTATTACTGACCATCCCATATTGCTTCCAGTGTATATCTAACATTTAAGTTCCAGAAAAGATACTCTGCCTTTAAAGAATGTGTAAGTATTAAAAACTTTCACTCACCTCAGCTACTTCATCAACATCTTTAGCTTGAGCAAGCTGATCAATCAGTTGTTGGAAAGTTTCTTTTAAATATTTGTACCTAGAAAAATTGTTTTGTTAACAATGGATGTTCCCATGTGATATCCTACAGTGAATTCTCTTAATAAGATGTTCACTCTACCAAGCTGGTTTAGACAATGATTCTATTTTTATAACCTCTAAACCTCAAACCCTCAATTAAAAACAACACATACATATATAAAATAACAAAATAAAGAAGTTGTACGAGCCCAAGATTTAACTTTAATTGTAATAGTAAAAGTATTTTTACAACATTATTGTTGCTTTTCATTCAATCGTGAGCCAGCTTAACTGCAGCATTTTATCAAAATTCTCACTTTATTAACACTGGGCACAACATGTTGTTTATATATATTAGCTAAAAAACTAAAAATGTTAGATATAACTTATTTTGATCAAGAGCTCGCAAGCATTTTTTGTGTCTTGTTGCTTAGCATACGTTTCTGTTTATTTGATCAGAATCTTCTATTGTTGTTTTCAATGAAGTACTTTACTAGTAGTCTCCTTATGGATTTTGATATACTTAAGGTAAAATGTCAAATGAACTATTTTTATATGTACACGTTTGCTTGCAAAGCATTCTTACTTAACTTCAAATTGATCAATTATTTGTAACCAGAATTAAAAGTATTAAACTTTTTCATAATGGTTAATTTCATCATCTCATTCAACCATGACATGATAATGTATTTCTTGGTTTCAGCCACAACAGTTGAATTATATTTACTAAATTGCTTCTTTTCACTAAAGATAGATATATGTATGTGTGTGTGTGTGTGTGTGTAAAAGAATAAATGTTTTTGAAAAAAAAATCATGTGAATCATCTGTCAATTTATAAAATTTCAACATTTAAAAAATATAACACTTCTTTCTTATACAAACATATCTCCTTGAAGTAGTTATGATTTTGTCATCTAACTGAAATCAGACTTGGAAATAAAGATATTTTTTTGGTCGGACATGGTGGAATTTGTAATTTATTCTTACTGAAAGTCTGAAATATGAAAGAATATCCAAACAATACATTACAAATGTGATATTGTTGAGTTTTCAATTATTAAGTCTCATGTGAGAATAACTAATTAGCTGAATATAATAGGTTAATTCTTGGAGCAGGAATGGGTCAGTGTGTGCATGTCACTACCTTTTCACAGTTATATTCAAAATTTAATAAAACAACTTTAGTATTAATGTATATCAATAAACTTGGCATCAAATGTAGTTTGTAATTAAAACTAATATAAGTTTTAACTTCAAGAAGAAATATTTAAATAAATTTTTAATCATCACTTGTCTGTATAATGGGACACTTCTTTGCTTTGATTTGCCCAGTTTAGATTTTCTCGTATCTCTAAATGACTTCCTAACTTTCTGTTAAATTTTACACTTATACTTTACATATTCTCGAGTTAAACTGCCAATTCACAGTAATGAAGCCTTTTGGTTTATGGAGATACATGCAATAAATGGAAGGCCACGTGCCACACCCTTCCAAGTTTAAACAGTTTTCAAAAAAGGTCAGTAATTCTCTCTAAAATATATTATTGGATAATTTGTCACATACAGAAAGAGAAAATTTCAATTCAATTAATGTAAAAGAGCCCAAAGCTATTGGAATAAAAGGTTATTTTGCTTTTGCTGTCTTTCTTTGAAAGATTGGAACTCTACTTGACCAGGTATTTGCATTATGTAACTTACTTCTAGCTTAGTTAGAAATTCAGGAAAACTATATTAGTTTTAGGACATTCTATTTTACATTAGTGGCAATATTTCATATTTTAAATTGCATATTAGAATTTTAAAAAAATTCTGAGGCAACACTATAATTACTAAGAGTTAGGCTTTGAGTTTCATGTAGACTTCTATTGTGCTAGTACATAAGCTTGAGAAAGACAAGATTTCAGACATAAGAAATACATTTCTTGTTTTTAATGTATATTTTTTATTTATTGATATAAAAGTAACTAAAATGTAAAAATTAGAAACTTATTAGGTTAGATAAGAAAATATGAAAACAAAATATTCATGTAGTATGTACTAGTAACTTGATCCTTTGTTTACGCAGAGTTGCCCATGTATTAAATAGCTATTTGCATTCTCTGAGTGCAACAGTAAATAAATAAAAATAATTGAAAAATCTATTAGCTTTGACTGTAAAAGTAAATAGTGTGTGTAATTGTCTGTTACAATATGCAGTCATTCTATAAAGAAAAAAAGGGTAATTTTGATTTATTACATATCTCTTTGTTACAGAGTGGTTATAAGGTTGGTTAAATTGACCGAGGTTGATAGAGTTAGGGTAGAGAAAATAATAAACAAAATACAGTTTTACTGAAAAACTTTTGCTATTCATTTAGGACACTTTAGAAGTTATGCAAGTGAAGTATATGAAATCCATAATATGAAAAGAAGTATTTTATTCTTAGCATGAAAATTATTTTGTACTCAGACTGACTTAATAAAGGCTTCATAAATTCACAACCAAATCTTTAGTAAAAATAATTAATTATTAAAATCTGATTTTCTGTGTAATAGACTTGTAATATTTGAAACCCTGCCAAATTTTATGAAATTACACTTACTACATTAAAGGTTATAGTACCTATAGTTTCATGGTTAAAAGACTGATCAAAAGGACCAATCTTGGATCTTACCTGATGTTAGAGGGTTAATGAGTCTGATGATTATTCGAGTAGTAAATTCTACTAATTGGCCAGCTCTATGTTAAAGGTGCATTGTATATCATCATTATTTTCTAAAGTGACATCAAAAATATTTAAATTGTAGCTAAAACTCTTATGTGTTGTATGTATACGTGTTTGTTTTTAAGCACAAAGCTATACAATACAATAAGGTATTTGTGCTGTGCCCACTGCAGGTATCATAACTCAATTTTGTGTGTTGTAAGCCCTCAGACTTCCAAGGAGCCACCACGGGGCATACATGTGTGTGTAACTACGAGATGACAATTAGGTAGATGTGCAATTTGACAAATATTTTGAGCAGCAAATTGCATACCCACTTTTGCCCTTGGTGAAAGCTCAACAGATCCAGTGAAAATGAACAAGTAAAAGTAAACTCTCAGTGCATAAAGGGCTTTCTTTTTTTTAAACTCTTGTAATGCACTTTAATTTTCAGTAGTGTTCATTCTCCAAGAAAATTGCTGTAAGATGGGAAGTGGATCAGAAGTAAGGAGATGTAGCAGTCGAGTTGAGAAACTTGGCAGAAATGGCAAAGCAGTTACATCACTTCTTGTTTAAAGGAGTTCATTTCACAGTACAGATGTGGTCAAGATTTTTACTGTCTGAATTTGGTACATTTAATGAACTAAATTTAATAATAATCTTGAATTTTGCTTCTACTATACTGTACATCAAGATGCAAGAAATGTCTCAAAAAATATTTTAATTATGAAATACCTCTAGTTCTCTTTAGCAATTTTTTTAAATTCTAGTATAAACTGGAAGTTTAATGGTGTGAATGAGGAAAGAATGGGAAACTTAAACAACAGCAATATTTTTAATCTCTGCATTGTAGCTGGATATTTTATTACTGTATATATTAGTTATTATGGGAAAGAAGCCAAAATGCTGAAAATTATATTTATAATCTTTGACTTTCAGAATTTTTTGTGGTGCGAGTTTTGTTCAAACTCAACTATTTACAATACCTACTAAAGAGATGACACAGGAGTTATTTTATAAAATATTTTTATTTTTAAATATATGGGAAAGTTTAATATGAACTTGGTTTGCTTTCGGACTACTAAGTTAGCAAGTCAAGTTTGGTCTGGATCAGTCAATTCAGTTAAGAAGAGATGCATCCAAAGACAGACAGAAAGTTTTCAATGATACTGGATAATTACCAAACTAGTAAGGCTTAATATGTATAGCCCATATGTGAAGAACAGAGCTGAATAAGTTATAAAATAACATTTGACAGATCAATGTTTTATCATTGACCCACCATTTCTTTTGAAGTGACTTACTTTTTGCTTTATATAACAAAACAAAACAAAAACAAATTACACTGGCAACATTTAAACATAAATATAAACCATGAGGTTTTAATTTTAAGTGAAAAATATTTTGAAGGATATATCTTTCAATGCTGATACATTTTACACCATTTATTAGTATGTTTTTCTTAGATTACTATTTAATAATCATCAAGAGTGTGTGCGTGTATTTATCAGCATAAAATAATAGTTTAGCAGTTGTAGTAAAACCCTTGTATGATAGTACAAAAGGAACAAAAATGCTTGTAAAAATTCATTTATACTGAAAACAACTTTTGGACTTTGGTTTTTCTCTAACGCTATTAATGTTAATTTATTAGTTGACATTTTTCATTTTAGCTTGACTAGCATCTGATGAAAGGCTGCTATTTCCAGGACTGTTGGAATAGCTTGTTTATATTAAAATTATCAAGACAATGGTATCCATTACCTTATAAAGTACGGCTGGAGACGAGATGATAAAATCAGGTCTATAAACAGATCAACAGCTACTTTCCTGGTTTCATTATCACCAGAAACAATCATATTGATCACCAACTGGATGGTTCTATTGATGTTGTTACTGTTGAAAAGCTAATGATGAAAATAACCATTTTAAATAATACACATTTCTTGGCATTAAAAGTTTTATATAATTTCATACAAAAAAACTGCTTTAATATAGTGATAACAAGTATAGTTAACTGTGTCAAAACCTTAAATGAAAAACAAAAGCTAAGAAAATCAGGACAAAATTACATGCTTTAAAAAACATTGCAGAAATGTTTTCAATTAGTTTCAAACTAAATACTGTATAAATATAGATGTTTAAGAAAAGTTTGTGTTTTTTTTTTCACTTGGCTCACAATAGGAACTGAACCTGGCTCATTATGATGGTTGGCTAGCAACTACTTATAACAGGAAGATGAAAAGTGTTTCAATAAAACTAAATATCAGAATCAATATATAGGGCCTAAATGAACAAGAAATTCTGGGACAGTTATGAAGGTTGACTTTTGAGTTTGAAAAATAAACCAGAACATAATGAGATATTTTACCTTGTTCATAACTTCTTAACATACAAGTTGCTTTTAATTGCACAAATAACATCACAAAAGTATGTAGTGAAGTAAAACTATGATGATATTCTTTTTAAACTTGTATGGTTGGCTTAAAAGTTATCCATTTGGTAAATCCATCATTAAGTGTAATTGAAATTTCACAGAAATGCATAAAAATACTAGGAAACTATTCAATAACTGGAAAATTAAATAGTTTCAAACTCTAAATTTGTATTATGGTGATGCACTAAAAATTCTACAGATGTACGAGATCTACACAGATTTCAGTGGTGAAAATGCTTTCACAGGCTTCTGAATTGTTTTATAAAATGTTTTATCAACTTTAAATTTTCTTGCCAATTTTACAAAACTGTTGTAATTATAATAAAATGATAACTAATATTTTTATTGTTTAACTGCCTGAGTGAAACACTTTTGCCCCATAATACTCCATACGACATTTTAATTATGAGCTCAGAAATTGGAAATTTATTGACTCATTCATATCAAGCACATGAAAGATCATTTCTAAATTCACTTTTATGCACAGATCTGTAAGTAAGAACATGTAAACATTGAATATGTAGCTGTATAATTTAGACATTTCTTGTTACTGATTTAAAAGCTATTCAATGAGCTTTATAGATGTATGTATAGTTAAATTATGTCTTCAGTAATAAAATTAATAGATTTTTAAGTCTCTCATACAAATCCTGTTTGTTATATATAGTGTGTATTTTGATGTGTACTATTAAAAGCATCTTAGTTTCAGGCAGTCTTTTAAAATTTAATCACTGTGTAGTCACATTATTTTACCTTTAGACTCTTTTTGTATTACAATTGAATCAAGTTTCAGCAGTGCAGCCTATTGTACAAGTGGGCCTTTGCTTATTAACACACACTACAGCATTACTGATACTCTGAAGTTCCATTCCATGACAGTGATAACCTACTTTTGGGAATTTATTTTTTCAAAATATATTGCCTCTCTTAAAGTTTGAACACTAAACCTGTTGCAAACTGGTAAGTACTCTATGAGCTGAGCTCAAGGATTAACCCCCTAACATTTGTTAGTAAACCACTTTTCTAACAGCTCAAAACTACTATATTCTCTCCCCACTCCCTCACAAACAAGGCCCCTGCTCAGGCCTAATTTCTGGGTCATGGGTTTGGGCTCGATGTTGGGCACCAATATGGTAATTTATTTTGTCACACTAGGTGACCATTCTACCAACTGCTACAGATAGCCCAATGTATGGCTTTGTGCTAAAACAAACTAACAATCTATCAACTGAGCTAAAGATTTAACCTTCTAGCACTTGCTAGTAAGTCACTGTTTTTAACAACTCAAAGTTCTACATACTTAAAGTGTTTTTTGATACTTTTAATATTGCACCTACTCTTTTGTTCCAAAGTTTCCGGTTAGTTATGTGCATTAAAAAAAATCCTTTATTTTTCTATCTTTTACAGAAGTGTGACTATGCTCAGATACTTATTGCTTGTTTATAGTTCCCCAACCTCTGCTCTTGACTGGAGTGAAAAAAAAAACTATACACTGTAACCACTGTCATATCTTTAAATAATCTAATCAACTCACACGAGTCTGTTGACTAATGTGTGAAAGGGATTATAGCAAAGTTTTTAACTTCCGAATGATTCTAACGAGACAAAATTAGCACAGTAATAAAGTTATTAAAATAAGGTTTTGTTCATGTAGCTTCCACATTCGTAACAAACTGATATATGGGACAAAATGCGCATCATCAGCTTAAAACACAGTTTCCAAGAGTAGCAAATATTTTATAAATTGCAAAAATTGGTAAGCATCAGTATGAGATCTGATGAGATTTCAGATATTTTTGTATGTTTAAAATCATTATAATTTGTTTCATGTAAAATATGTTATCTTAAGTAATAAAGTTATTGGCCCATTGATAGCCTTCAAACTAAGTTTAATTATTGCATACAGAAACTAGAATTGCAGCATAATTGTTTTGAATGGAAAGTATAATGTATTTTATTACAGACCCTCATCTCAATTGTCCATTGTATTGTACGAGATATTTTGATTTTTCTATCTGTGAGAAAAAAGGGTGACCAGTTGTTTACACAGAAAAAGAAAGTGAACAAATTCTATTGCAAATATAACTAAAACAAGCTTCCTTTCTAATATAAAATACTTTTGTAAAGACACTGCAAGAGTAAAATTTAGTTAATTTTTTACAAATAGAATCTTTCAAATACAACCAATGACAATGAAACAACCTGAATGAATCATCGTAATATGTATGTGAGAAAAAGGGACTTAAAAATTAACCAAGGCCAATTACAGTGGCAGTGAAGTATTATCACAGCATATGGACTGTCATGTTAACATCAAAATCATAAGATCACAATAACATGGCATTTAAATGTATAACATAACTCAAGTGAAAAGAGCTATTACTAACTGCATTGTGATTAATTAATTTTGCTGCATAAAGTATTCTAAACATTTACTTTAAAAGCACTAGAAATTATAATTTTCCTACACTGAAAATGTATTTCCAATGGGTACTTACCTCTACTCACATAAATAGCTATTCACGTTCAGTGCTGCCCTCTATGTGAAAATTTGTTTTACGCATGCCACAAGCCTTCTGTCTCTCCTCTATTGGAAATGACTCGTTCTAATGTGTCTCACATGCAAATCATCATGTGACAACCCTCCACCAATGAGAGTGCAACACACAATCATTATGCATGTGACCTCTTCAATTCCATTCTACCAGACTATCACTTTGAGTTTTGGCAGAAATGGAAGCACCAGTTTTCAGTTGGGAAGAAGGGTGGGAAGTGTGAGAGGAGGTAAGTATCTATCAGAAATACATTTTGAGTACAGGAAGATTGTAACTTCCGATATGGTAAATTACCTTCACTTACAAAAATAGCTAGAATCCTACATTGAATAGGTGGAGGGACTGGTGCGAGGGAAGACAAGAAGCATCCTTAGAAAGAGTCCAAAGGACATACCCAAATTCTAAGATCTGATGCAGGGAACCGCACTATGTCTGAATCAGGTATACTCTTCACCCATCAGAGAAAGGTGTGGTATATATGGGCAGAAAAACAGAGGAGCACATCTAAATATGTTGGAAAAAAATGGAAGTGCTCCCAGGTGTAGATTGGCTAGGGCATGACAGACTACACTTGGCAAGTCAACTACATCTGAAACCCATGCTGCTGGGAACCAGCATCCACATGGGGAGTAGGATGTGGATCATACAGTCTTCACCTCAAATTCAAGAGACCAGAGATGATCGCAAACCTCCATGACTCCATAACAGGGTACATGTTAAAAATAAAAAAATGATATATTGATCCAGGAATCTGACATCTGGTATCAAAAAAATGTCTGCCATAGAGAAATTAATTCCCTCAACAGTGAAACTGACTGGAACCAACTCAGACACAATAACAACCTGAGAATAAGATACATCAAGGGAGAGCAGAAGAGAAAGAACCGTAACAATTCCAAGTACCTCCACTGTGACCCACAACACAGATGGAGTATAATTGAGAGAGAAAGATAGACATCAATAATATATGTGAGAGGACTTTTGTTGACTGGTTCTACTCTAAATCCAAAACCCGGCCACTGGGAACCGACATCCGTGAGGGATCCCAATCTAAGGGGTGAATCTAAGACATCTCACTCCTTTCATTTTCATATGCTTTATAGTGAAGGATATCACGTCCTCTACACCAGCAGGACACCACCACCCTACTCTGCACTGAATGGTATCTCTGTATTGATATTTTATCTCATTAAACCATTCAGGAGGATGCCTCCACGGTCCACCACCCCAGCAGCTTGGAACTGGAAAGTGGTAAGGACTACCACACTCCACTAGAAGAAAAGGGGGGGTGGGGGGGTGTGCGGTTGAGAGTCCGGAGGAATGTCAACACCTCAGACAGTGCAATGGGTGACCATGAAACCCTATTTTAAAAAGCAGATCATACTAATTTATTCAATACAAGGCTTGGCAGGGATGGGCAGCTATCCCCTTCTGTTTACCCATGTAGTCTATGGGTGGTATGGTCTGGACGGGCATACTTATGAAGCAATTCTATCGCGAGGATAACCATCAAGCTATCTCATCAATGTTCATTGTGTGGCCATGAAACATAAAAAGCAAGTTGACATGGCTGAACAGTGTGGATTTTAAAGGTTAAAGAATACCTGGTCAGGCACCACTCACCACAGAGCAGGAACCAGTAAGAAAAAGAGGGACATGCGGCTGAAAAAGAAGAGGTGTATATATATATAAGAAAAGACGGTACCCTGACAAGAAAGAAATAGCTACCCAAAGCAGAGAATGAGAGAAGAACATATGAGATGTAGTCTCAGTGCTCGACAGATGAAGTTCCTCCATCTGATGACAGGGTAGACATGCAGGGAAAAAGGAAGGTGCAGGTTAGGAGTGAAGACATCATGAAGTGAAGAAGGGAAGAAAAAGCCAATTGAATCTAAAACCAATGGGTAAGGGTGGAAGGGAAATATAACAGACAAAGAAATGGGGTAAGTGGAGGAAACCTGTCAAAAAACAACATAGATAGGCCTGGCACATTTTGCAGTAGAGGCCTGGAATGTACTCCATGAAAAGGTGGAGGAAAATTGACAAATCTAGGTCATCTGAAAAACAGGTTCCGCTGTTATGATGAGCAATATTGGGAAGAGGAGGTAGGTTGGGCCCCAGCCCCTGGGGGCCTGCAAAAATGAAATTAATGGAAAGAAGTAGAAATTATAAGTTCAAAGAAATTAAAGACAAAAATTATAAAGTATAAATTAATCAATATTAATGGTAAGAATTTTGTAGTGAAATAAACATATGGCTGTGATGTTCTGTGTTGAAGAAAAGATAAATATCGATAAACCCGTTAAAAGAACCACTGGAAAACCGAAATTAACATAACATTATTAAGCCTAATCAAACAACATATTAACATAATTAACGATTAACTCGGAAGTAGAACTACCAGTAAACCGAAAATAAACATTTAAAAAGCCTAATTGAACAATACATAAAAAAATATCATTAAGCCCTAAAAGAAATACTTAATCCGAACAATAAGTAAGTACAATATTGGGATAATTTTGTGTGGACCCTGGCTCAAGAATTCCACACAAACCAAGTGAATAGGAAGAAAAACAATATAATGAAATTTATTATACATATACCAGTAAGATGAATTACAGGTAATCCTAAAAATAAAATAAAGACTATGGTAAGCCTAAGTGAATGGAATAGTAGAAAAATACAACTAAGACTAATGGCTAATCTAAACTTGACTAAAAGTATTAACCAATCAAATGAAACTTATGTTATGGAACCCAAATAACAACAGATAATAATATTAAAAATAAAAGTATAACATCTCATCTTTCCAAAGTCTGTGAACAGAGTAAAAATATAAAATAATTTCACTTTTGAATAACTCAACAAGTTACAAATATCCCTATTGTATAATAAAGAGTAAACTTGTTCAGAGAAATTAATAGAAAGATATTAAAATAAAAGGGAGCACAAACTAAATGTTAGAAAACAAGTATTGCCAAACGAGAAGCGATAGTCTGGTAAATGGAATAGAGGGAGTCACATGATGATTTGAATGAGTCATTACCAATGGAGGGGAGGCAAAAGGATTGTGGCATACATAAAAATATTTTGCATATAGAGGGCAGCACCGAACGTGAATAGTTATCTATCTGAACAGGGGGGAGGGGGGGAAGTACCATATAGAAATGTATACTTATTTTTACCAAACATGTAACAGTACCCTTGAAAAATGTATAATGGTTATAAATATAAAAATTATGGTGGTTGTCTCATAAGCAGACAGACAGCAGATAAAAAATAATTAACTAGAATAAATTTTATTTGTTTCTCTTCAAGAGTAGAAGAGTTCTGTTTTATAATGCTATTTATGTTCATGCAATGTTTAAAACTTAATAATTACTTTACTTTCATTGAAACAACTGTTATACATACAAATACAAATATTTTAACAAATTATATACTCTTCTTTTTTTAGTTAACAACCACATTTTTCCTTGCATACTTTCAGAAAGAATTTTTCTTTGTCTTGGCTATGAGTATTGAAAAAAAGGTTAATTTTTATAACAGAAATTATCATAAAATTTTTTACCTTTTCTCCTAGATCATCATTAATGACAAGACTGGCCAAGACAGAAAGGGTCTGTACAACAACTACACGATTATTGGATGATAATTTTCCCACCAGTGTTTTGTACATTTGTTTGGCATTACTCTATATCAAAAGAAAACCATTTAAAGTACAAAACTATTACTAAAAAATAATTTACTATGGGAAAAAGTAAAACTGGGGCTACATACTCTTCATCAGTTATTAATATATTTTATCTATAGAATCAAATTAATTTTATGAAAATTACAATTTAAAATTATTTCGAGAGCTAATTTAACATTAATTGCAAGTTTTTCAACCTGAAAATAGATCTGCTTTATGAATTAGAAACATTTACATTCTTGTTTGTAAACAATATGATGCAGAAGCTAGAATTCTTCTCAAGAAATTTTACATAATTAGGCCTAAAATGGCAGCTTTTGTGTTATTTTTTAAATTGTATCAATTCAACGAGTTTTTGAAAATATTTCAATAGTAAAATATTTAATGGCTACTTTTAAAGGAGCAGCAGTTTGTTTCAAATTCTAATACAATGTAGCTAATACTATCATTTCAAGATTTCAAACCTGTTTTTAACACAGAAGCTAGAACAACATCTGATATTTAGCAATATACTTACCATGCATTTAACCTGTGCTTGTACCAGAGGATTATTTCGACACAAGTTGGAAAGAATTGACAAACACTGCACCAAGTATTCTGTTGTTTGATTATTTCTAAAAAGAGGTGAAGGAAATCATACAAGATCCAACATATTAAGAACTATCTGAACTTTTTAAAGTCATTTTAACAACTAATACATAAAAATCTACATTAAATTAAAAAGAATTGAATTGGTCCTTACTTCTGTATGTACAAAAAGTCTATGCTTCAATGTACTATACTTCTATGTTTTTCTCCCATCACTTTCCTTAATCCATTTTCCATTAACTATCTAAAATTTTAAGATACTGAGAATTTCTTTCATATATTAACATAGCCAAAACGGTATCTAACCAGCTGCCTTGGTGTTTCATGGTCTAGAAGAACAGTAGAGTGATGCCCACAAAATTCTTACAAAAAGAGAACCCTATTCACTTTACAAAAGAGTAAGTCAGAAATCTTCTGTGTCAAAAAAAAATTAAACAATTGTAAATGCTACATAAGTGCATTTCACACAGTTCCAAGGGTGGGATTCAACAACATAAGAAGCCATTTGTTTCTATGGAAACTAGAGACATGAAGCAAACACAATAAGTGAAAGTAAGCAACTATACCCTGTAACTAAAAATTTACAATATGTCACTTATGACATTTCAAAGTTCTATACCAAAATGTAATTCATAAGATAGACACTTTTCTTGAAACATATTTTGCTGTAAGAATGTTCTGAAATGCTAGAACATTAATCCTAAACCACTATGCTCAAAGTCACTACCTTCATTATATCGTGCTTTATGTTTCTGACAGTAAAATGTGAGGACAGCATATTACCTCCATTCACATGTCATCCCATGAATTTCAAAAAAGATAGATCTTATATATGTCAAACTGATTGGCAGCTTCAATTTCTGCTGGTCAACTTGTTTTTGAAGCTATCTCTGACCATTATTTACTGGCAAATAGGAATTCTGAGAATTGATAACCAAAAAAAAAAAAAA